GCGACGTGGGGATCTTCAGTAGTTTCCAATACATGATGGCTTGGTTGGCGAGGTGAGTGTCCCGGTGGATTCACTCAGTCCCCGCAGCCAATTTCAGTGTTTCTGTAGTGGTGGATGAGCAGGGAGAAACGTCGGTTTTTCCCCCCAAACTTGCAGCACTGGTTCCTAACTGCAATGTGAGACCGTGCTTGGAGCCCAAATTGTGCATCCCACTGGGATATACAGTTCAAACTTCTCCTTCAGTGCTGATTAGTCCCTTGTGAAGGTTTCATTGACTTTATTCTAATGACTATGCAACAGATATGAGGAAATTCTCAACAGAAGGATGTGGGCATCTGATCACAGCCTAGAGTTTAGGTCAAAGTAAAAAGTTGCATAAAATGCTGCCAGTTTCTGTAGAGACAAAATGTGAAAAGTCTAAGGAATTCCAGCCACCTTCTCAAAGCTGGTGTTTTTTTTTTTTTTTGCCTTACCCAATTTTACCTTTCCTCATGACAGTAAAGCTGACCTCTCCCTCTTGCCTCAAGGCTTGTCTGTACAAGCTAGGCCCTTGTACCAAGGGTATGTGTTGAGGCACGTTAGTCCTTTGGTTGTGTGGCAACTACACCAGGGTAGAGAAGTTCATTCTTTTTTTTTCCCCCTCTGTTATGTGAGAATGAGAGATTTTGAAAACTTTGACCATTGTGGTGTTGCAAAGTACCATGCTCTCCCCACAGCACACGGCCTGCGCCAAGAGGATACAAGCTCTTACCCACAGCCAGTGTGGCTCTCCCACACAGCAAAGTTGAGCCCTAGCCTTGAGAGATGATGGACCAGCTACACAACTTCCCAGCTCTGGTTTCACAGTGTTTTGTCCAATTCTGTGATAGTTTCCAAATGGCCGTGATCAGTGAAAGCTGAGCCCTGAGACTGAATTCTGACTTCAGCAAAACTTGCGTTTCACTTTCAAAGGGGCAGAGTGTGGATTTGAGTTTTCAAGAGCAGGAGGAAAGCTGAAATGGAGCTTCTCTGAAGTTTGACCTGCTGTTTATTCTGCTGGGGTGTGATAGCATCTAGAAAAATCAACATAAACTCTTTAACTGAAGGCTTTTTCCTCTCAGCTCTATGGCTCTGCTTGTCTCCTGTTTGGTTGAGGTAGCTGTGAATGTGGAAGGGCAGGCTTTGCGGTATCTTCCTTCGCCTGTTGGTTTGTGCTAGGTACATGTGCAGCCCTGACAGAGCTGGCCTGAGGCTTCTCAGCAGTGTTGGCAAAATCAAATGCTGTACTTCTGAGTTGGAGGGCCATGTCTGAGCTACAGCAGAAAGCCTTGGAGGCCTGCTGGAGGTGTCTGGCTGGAGTGAGGGCTTCTGCTGAAGAAGGCCAAGTAGTACTTACCTCGGAGGCAATGAAAGCGCCAGCCCAGCCTTCTAGGGCTGTGATGTTGGCAAAGAAGCCCTGTGAAAACTATTAGAGAAGTCTCTACTTCGTCTAGATGTGGCCTTAACTGGTGCAGTGATAATAATTTCTATTGCTTTGGGAAATACACTGAGAGGCAAAACACTGACGAGAGTCAACTGTAGAAAGGGAAATAGCTCAAGAAAGGGAAGGAGGGCATAGGATGCATGGAGGTAATGTATTTGAAGATGTAACTTATTTCCTGCCGAAAACCTTGTTGAGAAATGTGTCAAGGTATGCTTGTCTCATCATAAGTATGTGGAAGGAGAGAGTTTAATAGGCTGTTTGAGCACATAAACATGGGTGACATTAACAAAAGTGACTTGCATTTGCCTATGACTGGTGAGTGAGTGCTAGGATGTCCTCTTGTTTGTAGAAGGTCTAGAGCTGATTTTTCACCTTTTGAAAAGTGACCGTGTGGTGTATTATATCATCTTGCAGGTAAAAGGACACAGAAAAGAAGATGGACTGGGGAACTCTGCAGGCCATTTGAGGAGGCGTAAATAAACACTCCACCAGCATCGGGAAGATATGGCTCACAGTCCTGTTCATCTTCCGTATCATGATCCTGGTTGTGGCTGCAGAGAGAGTCTGGGGAGATGAACAACAAGATTTTGTCTGCAACACGCTTCAGCCTGGTTGCAAGAATGTTTGCTATGATCACTTTTTCCCCATCTCTCACATCAGACTCTGGGCCCTGCAGCTGATCTTTGTTTCCACGCCTGCGCTGCTGGTGGCCATGCATGTAGCTTACAGGAGGCATGAGAAGAAAAAGCGATTCAGAAATGGTGAGAAAATTGATATCGAAGAGCTGAAAAATGAAAAGATTCACATTCGGGGCCCACTGTGGTGGACGTACACCAGCAGCATCTTCTTCAGGATAGTCTTTGAAGCCGTCTTCATGTACATGTTCTATTACATGTACGATGGGTACCAGATGCCTCGCCTGGTGAAGTGCAATGCATGGCCCTGCCCCAACACAGTGGATTGTTTTGTTTCTCGACCCACTGAGAAAACCACATTTACTATTTTCATGCTTGCTGTGTCTGGGATCTGCATGATGTTGAATCTGGCTGAGTTGTGTTACCTAATGATAAAAATTTGCATGAAAGAATCAAAGAGAACAACAGCTTTAAAATAATTCCCCAGTTTCAGGATTTCCTAGGTCCCCATTTCCCTCAAACTTTCTTAGGTGTCAGAAAACAATCCACAATATTTTTACACTCAAGGAAAAGGATAAAAGTGAACATTGAAGTTTTAAATATTATAGCCTCCCTGGGAAGCTGCCACTGAGGCGGGTTTTAAAGATCGTCATACTAATTCGGTATTCCTGCAACCACAAATAGAGAGAGCAGCCTTCTGGCAGCAGATTTTCCTGCTGCTGGAACTGTTGGGACAGAGTCACTTTTCAAAACATGGGAGTGGAAAGGCCCAGAGAAGGCTCTAGCGCCCCAAGGAGATCCAGGAATCACAAACACAGCATGTCAGCTTCAGGGGTAAGCCAATAACAAAGGGTTTTGGTCAAAAGTGGGGTGAAGGGTTTTTGGGGGGAGCTTATGTCTTGTGAAAAGGAAGAAGCCAGCAAGGTGACTGTTTATAGCAGGTGTCCTAGTTTCTCTTAAAGTAGTCTGGAGTGGGAAAGAGCCTAGGAACACAGATACTCGATGGCAATGCATGCTGTCAGCTCTGCTGGGCACCAAGAACGGTTTTCATCTTTTTATCTCCTCACCTGCACTGCAGAGCGTCTCCTACAGGGTTGGGGGTGGCCAGTGTCAACTGCTTGTGAATATCATTAGGTCAGCACTGACTCCCTCCACTCACAGGGGCTGCAGCAGTGGGAGGAAAGAAGTCTGTTTTTTCATTCTCTTGGTCAGGTGAAATTAAGGATTGTCACCTTTGAGAAGGTGGGGGCAGTGCAACTGTCTTCCTCCTCTTGTTCTCCCCCAACACTTTGTGAAGAATCTCAGTACGTTTTATTCAATGGGGAGACTTTTTACCACCTGACTGTGCCTCCTTCAGCTGCGTACCTTTGAAATTATTTTTTTTCAGTAAAAGCCAAGAAAAATTGCCTTGTTTCATTCTGCTTGTTATCCAGAAGTGCTTCAACTTACAGCATGATACATAGTAGATTGCACCTACCAGTGCTCCTTCCACCAGTACCTTTTTCTTATCCAACCTGCACAGCTTTTCCTCATAAACCTTCTCCCTTTCAAGTGTGTCCATCGAACCACTCCCAACCTCTCTGACATTCCACATTGTGAGACTGAATCACCCTTCTTCTTCTTACAGTAGGTCTAGCAGGAGTTACAGACAGTTTGCAGAGCTAAAATAGCAATGGGACCCAATCAGAAATGAGGAGGAACTTGATATTTTTCTTGAAGTTCACATTGCTGAACTGTGAATTGTACTAACTTGAAGAACTATGTGAGTCGGTCTGCTCTTGTCTCTAATGTGGTTTATGCCTGTCATAGGCAGCTACACCAGCACATACTGCCACACAGTTTATCTCCCAAGTGCCTGCCCATTGAACCCACTTCTAGAAAGCTGGCTATTTCTCCTCCTTTGCTTTAACAACTGTTTTTCCCCAAAATGAATGAGCGCTATCTTAGCTTCTCTATTTCCATTCATCTCTTACTGTACATTTAAGTTTATCACTGTTGGAGTAAACAAAGATACGTGAATTCAAACCCATGACCCCTCACTGTGCACTGGAAGTGCAGCGTAAGCAGGCTTGACGGCAGATGGAAATCTGTCATCTAGGAGGGGAGCAAGAAAATCATAAACCCACCATCCTCAGAAGCATGAACAAAAAGATGGAAAGTCATTAATAACGAGCTGAACTGGAAACTTGGACTGTGAAAACATCCTTAATCCAACTCTAAAGAACAAAGCTTGGCATGTGTCAGGTTTGTGCTCGGTAAAGTTGCTGCATTGTTCTGTGTACCAGCGTGAAGAGAACAAACTATCTACACTCCCAGTGCTCTAGTATTACATTTCTTTTGTAATAACAGGATTTTTTTTTCTCGAAATTATAATTAAAGCACTCTTGTGGTGTCTGTTTTCTGTATTACTTGTACGTGCCATGTATTACCTAATGTGACTAATGACAATCTGTTTACCATAGTGGAAAATGTATGTACTAATACTACTCTTCATAGCCAAGGGCTGCTGTCAGGATTTTAGCCTTCTGCTACTGGTTGTTTTTTCAATTTGTCACACTGCCTGTTATCCTGCAGACTTCGTGAGCTGACACTGGAAGGTCACATATGTGACCCCTGCTAGAAATCAAATGTACTGACTCAGTCAGCCTTGTACTAGCAGAACTGCAACTGGAAATGGCTGGTGATAAATAACTTAACCAGCTCCACAGGGGAGAGAGTTTGTTTTCCCAGCCTGCCTTTGAGTTTAACTCGAACTTGTAATGAGACACACCAAAACTGGTAACACTGTGATGTTGTCTCAAACGAACAGCTTGGCAACCAGATTACCACACAGGGAAAAAAAGATAGAGATAGGGAGAGTGTCTGGAAGTGGCCAAGAGAGGGCTTTGATCCAGAACTGTGGCATCAGGCGGTAACAGCTCTACCAGGACAGACTTCCTGCCTCTAAGATTAATTTTCTTATAGATATTAAATTTGACTAAATAGCTGCTTTGTAGGGAAAAAAAGGTCCAGGTTCTTCATAGGAACACAGGAATTGCACCTATTTCTATGTGTGCTACCTTGCATGGCTGACCTACACGTGGATTTTGTACGGATTAAAATACAATGCTGTGTTGGAATTGTCTGTGTTCTTGCCTGAAATACGCTAGAAATGTCTACCTTTTTGGCACTTGGTTCCTAAGCTCTGCTCAGAATGAAGATTACAAGAGTGTTGAAAACTGAAGCAGCAAATCTGAAGTCGAGACTGTAAAAGGCTGATTCCTCACTGCCTGCTGTCCAGTGTAGCCACGATATAAAGGGTCAGATAATGTGGTATCAGAACTGGGGAGTGTAGGAGTGGGACTGGATAGAATTATACCTTGATTGAACTCACCAGGAGAAATCACCATTGACTTAATCAAGTTAAACTTTCATCCAAAACCTTGAAACCAAGACTACAAACGTGTTCTTCCAAGAGGGGGAGGGAGAGAGGGGAAGCAAACTTCACTGTTAACTGACAGGACCAGCTAGAGAAAAAAAACACTAGCTCGCATGGGCAAAGACTGATTTAAAAGGAAATCAGAAGTATAAATCTGTATTTATGACTTCTGGATATAGAAGTAGCTTTATTAAAGGTTTTCGTAGACAAAAATTAAAAACTCTTCAGATGTTTTACAGTTATTATGAGCCAATGTACTGTGTTATTTCGTATCTGACAGCAAGAGTATAAAAGAAAAATTATACGGTCCATACAGAGAAGAGCACTCCTGTATCATGGAGGTTCAATTCAAAATAGCAACACTGTTAAAAGTTGCTTTATTTTGTAAAAAGTGTACTGCAGCAAATAAGCAACAGCTAAGAGCACTTTACTGCAAACTGAACTTAATAAAAATTAATCTCCTTTTTTCCCCTAATCATTTCCCTAATCAGGCTGGGCTTATTCAGCTTGGAGAAGAGAAAGCTCCAGGGAGACCTTATAAAGGCCTTCCAGTGCTTAAAGGGGGCACGAGAAGAAGAGGCCTACAGGAAAGGTGGGGAGGGACCCTTTATCAGGGAGCGCAGTGATAGGACAAGGGGTAACAGTTTCAAACTGAAGGAGGGGAGATTTAGATTAGATATAAGGAAGAAGTTCTTCACTATGAGGGTGGTGAGGTACTGGAAGAGGTTGCCCAGAGAAGCTGTGGCTGCCCTCTCCCTGGCAGTGTTCAAGGCCAGGCTGGATGGGGCTTTGAGCAACCTGGTCTGGTGGGAGGTGTCCCTGCCCATTGCAGAGGTGGTGGAACTAGATGGTCTTTCAGGTCCCTTCCAACCCAAACTGCTCTATGATTCTGTTGTTCTATGATAGTTCCCTCCCCTGCAATTTAGGCCAATGTGTTTTCCCAGGCAACAAAATCATATTCAGATAATTGCACTGTATTTTGTGGTCACCTGTTCTGATATTTAGCACAGCCATTACCTTGGGTGTTAATTATGGGTTTCTTTGCATTTTCACCATCTTATTATCTATACAGTCATTTGAACCTGTCTGTAGACAGTGGCAAAAGTAATGGTAACTATCTGAGGCTTAAGGCTTAATGAGCTAAGACTAATGGTGATGATCTTCAAGACAGTTGAGGAGGTACATACACTTTTTTTCCCCCATCTGACTAGCCCAGCTTGTCATTGTAATTTTACAGAATATTTTTCTCATCTGTAAAGCTGTCCCAGCTCTGACCTGGGTATTTTCTCTATAAGCCTTCCTAGCAACCAAAAAAAGTCTTTATAACCTAGGTTTGAAGATGCATTATGCTTTAATTGGCAGGCCCAGCTGAGGAAACAAGTCACATCTCTCACTTTCCACCTTTGAGAACAGAGCTTGCCCCTGCTATGGTTGGTCTCCAAGTACCACCATAGAATTCAGCCTCAGATATTGGCCACATGATTGCACATAACTTCTCCCTTTTTCTGTCTGTTAAATCACTGCCACTAACTCAATGATTATTTTACATCTACCTGCTCTATGCTCAACCCATTGTATTTGAATAAGGCATCTACTAAAAAATATCCTCTCTGAGAATACCACAGGTAGCCAGATGCTTGCATAAGCCTTTCTGGTAAAGGAGTGATACGGTACCAATATGACATACAGTTTAGGGAAATATGTTTTGAGTGAACTGATAGACAGACAGTTGAGTTATGATCACTGCAGGTTGTAGATGAATGTTTTGAACAGCAGTGTCTATTCTGCGTGCTGCTAAGAACCAGCATTTCACTCGTAGCCTGGCAGAGTACCCAGGATAATGAACACTGTAGTGTGTGAATGCAGTCACACGGCTCTGAAGCAGGTGGCATTTTTTAGTGGACAAGCTGTGCTGGACAGGCTTACTGGCCTAGGCACACAGAATCACAGACTGGTAGGGGTTGGAAGGGACCTCAAAAGACCAACTAGTCCAACCCCCCTGCCAGAGCAGGACCACCTAGAGCAGGTCACACAGGAAGGCAAGGTGTATCTGTTCTGTTG